CTTATGCTTTTCTTCAGTTTTTTTTTAAATGAATGTATATTAGGTTTACATTCAGAACAGAATCACAAATATAACTTGAAATCATGTTCAAGAAGACAGGATGTAATGGGGGCCAGAGTGTGGTGAGGGGGCCGCTCTCGGACCCGAGCCTGCCAGTGTCGGGTGAATGAGCGCACATTTCCCCGAGGGGAGTCTGGCAAAACACGTCAAGCCTCTCAAGTTTTCACATGTCTGACCACTCATTCTCCTAAGAATCTGTCCAAAGGAAATGAACAGAGATGCCAAGATACCTGTACAGGCTGTTCACTGCAGAATTATCTACAGTATGATAATTTGAATACAGCGATACACTCACAGACAAGAGGGAACAAGTTAATAAACGGTAGTACATCCATCTGATACATGTTATGTAGTCATGAATGTATGTTGGAAGGTCTTAATAGCATGAGGACATGTTTATGCTAAGCTGAATTTTAAAAGCAAGACAAAAACCTATATATACTCTGATCACAAACACACTTTAAAAATTGCTAAGTCTGGGGACTTCCCTGGTGGCGCAGTGGTTAAGAATCTGCCTGCCAATGCAGGGGACACGGGTTCAATCCCTGGTCCGGGAAGATCCCACGTGCCGCAGAGCAACTAAGCCCGTGCACCACAACTACTGAGCCTGCACTCTAGAACCCACGAGCCACAACTACTGAGCCCTTGTGCCACAACTACTGAAGCCCGTGCACCTACAGCCCGTCCTCTGCAACGAGAAAGCATCGCAATGAGAAGCCTGCACACCGCAACAAAGAGTAGCCCCCACTTGCCACAACTAGAGACAGCCCGTGCGCAGCAACGAAGAACCAACACAGCCAAAAATAAATAATTTTTTTTTAAAAATTGCTAAGTCTCTATGTGCACCCACATGGACAGGATCACCTAGAAAGAGGGCCAGGGGAGTGTGTGCATGTGTGTGTGTGGTGCACGTGTGTGCAATTAACAGTGGTTTTGTTTGGGGTTTTTTTTTTGTCTGTGCGCGTGACGTGTGGGATCTTAGTTCCCCCACCAGGGATCAAACCCACGTCCCCTGCAGTGGAAGCGTGGAGTCATAACTACTGGACCTCCAGGGAGGTCCCTAACTAACAGTAGTTTTAACCAGCGGTGGGATTTTTATTGCCTGTCTATTGTTCTGCATTTCCCAAATATTCTGCAATGAATAGGCATTACTTCTATAATCAGAAAATAACTTATTTTAAAAGAGAAAAGAAATCTCCCCCCTCACAGAGGATGGAGTATGGGGAAGCAGGTGGAGTCATGGAGATGAGCCAGGGGCTACAGCACTGAAGTGGGAATGAAGGGCCAGAGGAAGATTGAAGGGACGGGGGCAGGACAAATGGCAGCATCTGCTGACTCACTGGACGTGGCCTGGGGAGGAAGAAGGAGGAGTGAAGAAGGATTCCGAGGTCCCAGGCTCGGGATAGGGAATACAGGATGCGGCAGCCAGCCTCCTCAAGGGCCCCAGTGAGTCCTCCCTCCTGATATCCACACCCTTGTGAATAGAGCTGACCTACAGGATACAGCAGAAGTGACAGGGTGTGACTTCTGATGCTAGGCCATAAGGACACTACCGATGGAGACAGAAAATAGAAAGTAGGATCGTGGTTACAAGGGACTTTGCAAGGGGAGACCGTGGGATGATAAATTCTGAAGATGGACAGTAGTGATGGTTGCAGAACAAGTGCATGTACTTAACACCATTGAACTATAGTTAAAAACGGTTAAAATAGTAAATTTCATATCACGTATAAATTTCACAATAAAAAAATTTTTTAATATGAAGATGGATCGCAGAGCTCTGCCTTGGTCTGTCTTCGGTCACTTGCCCTGCGGGAAGCCAGTCGCCATGTCGTGAGGGCCCTCAAACTGCCCCGTGGAGAGGTCTAGGCGTGGAGGAAACGAAGCCCCCTGCTAACAGCAGCATTAACTAGCCAGGTACACGCGTCCTGAGCCCCCAGAAGGCAGATCCCCCAACCCCAGGCAAGCCTTCAGCCGGGGACAGAAACCATATAAAATGATAATGTTAACTGTTTTAAGCCACTAAGTTGGGGAGGAATTTTTAACCCAGCAATAGGTAACTAATGCCTAGAAAGAGGCACAAATCTGAGCTGTCTCGTCCCCTTTCCTGGTTTAAGCCACCATCGCATTTTCCTAGCTTCCACTTAGGAGGCAGAAGGCTGGAAAGAGCCGTGTTCACACCATTACGACGAACACACTAGGGAATACGCAGAATCACACTTTTTCTCAAACACATCAGAGCACGAGGTGGCAGCTGGCTGCCTATTAGGGCCCAGCAGGGAGTGGGAAAGGGAGCCGGGGGTCAGGGAGTGGGGAGGGGCCTGACCCTTCCTCTTCACCAGCGGCCCTGGCGGTGTACTGCTGCCTGCAGTCACCATCTCTGTGCTCCCTCGCTGGTCTCCTTTTGTCTTTCCAGTCCTCCAACAATACCTGTTGAACCTATTCCCTAAACTAAATTCCGTTTCTTCCAATCTGCGTGGTTTCTGTTTTCCTACCTGGCCCTCAACTTGATAGAGCACCCAAACTCAGTTCAATCTCTTTTGGGGACAGAGATAAGTGTGACAGAGTTTCCGCCTGTCCAGGTAAACCTGCAGCGTCCTAGCCTGGACCACCTCTGCTGACTCATCTCCTCCCCACCTCCCCCCACCTGCAGTCTGGTGCACAGTCCTACTTGTGACCCCCAACATGGCACTTTTCTTCATCTCGCCACGCCTTCCGAGCCCAACTCTACTAAAATCGGACAATAGGAAAACGAGGCACCTCAGCATTTGAGGAAGCATTGAAGAGAAGGAAGGAGTCGTTTTTCTTTGGTTTGTTTTATACCTTGGGAATAGACAACAAAAATTTAAAAGGATGATTTATGCTTAAGCTGACTTTCATTCCTCTAATTTTTTTCCTCACTGATGTTTTCACTCTGGTGGAAAGTCACTGGACAAGAACGAGAAACCCGGGAAGTCAGTCTCATTTTTTTCCTCCTCCCCTTCCTGTCACCAGGATAACCTACTTCTTCCTCTCACTCAGAAGAGGAAGAGTGCTGGACACACGCACGTGCACACACGTATTCTGGCCTGCAAATCAATTTCCCATCTGAAGTAATGATACCTAAACTTACAATGTATTAAAAAAATTCTGGGATGTCTTCAGTGAGGTGGTTTGAGAGATAACAGAAACTTCACTTCCTACAGACTTTTTATGAACTAGGACTAGATGTAAAAAATGAGAATCTATCTACCGCCTGAAGAAAACCCTAGCCTCCCAACTGAAAAGTATTTTCAAGAATCAAAACAATAAAAGGTATAGGAAGACTCCAGACTGCCACGGCTTGCTTAGGTGATGCAATGGATATAGGCTGATGGCCCCAAGGGAGCAAACACTGCTCGGAAGATGAAAAAAATCTTAGATATCTCAATGGTTTGTGCTCTGCTCCAAAAGGCCTCCATACATAAATATATAGCTATAGTTATGCAGTATACCTGGGATATGAAACTTTCATGGACTGGTAATATTTAGGGGAAAAAAGTGTTAACAAGGCTGTTTGGGAACTAGAGAGAGAACACTAGAGAAAAAAGGATTGAGAAACACAGGTCTAGATAAAAGTCATACACGCTGCAGTTTTTTTTCTGGGCTTGAGCACTCCCATCAGTATTATATATTCCTCCAGATTTCTAATCAACTCTGCAGAATCATCACTTTTTCTTGAGTAAGAAGAGTCAGGAATGTAATCCAGGGGAGAATTTACCGCCGACTAAATCTCGGTGCACAGTGCTTTTACGAAAGCTGATTGTCAACACCCAGACGAATGGCTTCCTTTACGTGCCAACACACACTTTGGTTGAGGCTAAATAGCTTATTTCTCCACCTCAAACTGTTACTATTCCCCCCCACCAGAAAAAAAAAGTGTTTCCAGGGCTTCCCTGGTGGCGCAGTGGTTGGGAGTCCGTCTGCCGGTGCAGGGGACACGGGTTCGTGTCCCAGTCCGGGAGGATCCCACGTGCCGCGGAGCGGCTGGGCCCGTGAGCCATGGCCTCTGGGCCTGTGTGCGTCCGGAGCCTGTGCTCCGCGACGGGAGGGGCCACAACAGTGAGAGGTCCAGGCTCCCCTGTGTGCAGTCCCCACGGTGACACATCAGAGACGGGTGCCACCTGTGTTACCACCGTGGACAGATGGGGTGTACAGAGCCATGCTGCCTCTGCTCTATTCTGATGACACGTGTGTGCGCCTTTGCCTGATAAGTTACCCTCTTATCTGCACAGCTCACTTGCTGTGACGTGACACTTCAGTAACCAAAGCGTGACCCGTTTTCTCCATGGCCTTGAGTCCCAGTTACTAATCACACCATTACGTCAACTTTGCAAGTACTTTACAAGACATCCGGGTACACGAACCAAATACACACCTCCACTCACATAATCACATGTGCTCACTTCATGGTCACCGATATCTGCTAAATTCTAACGCAGTCCACTCACTGTGGCCTTCAGTTATTCATTCAATCATTTTGATCAAGGTTTGGGGCTAATAAGATTTTAAAAGCAGTTTCTGCTTGTGGAGAGAAAGAGAAGCGCACAAATAATGATATAATATGAGGCATTTCAACAATGATGGAAGAGATGTATTTACAAACTGGTGTTTCGGAAGAGGGAGACATCACCCCCAGAAGCAGAAGTCAGGGAAACTTCATGGAAAACAGGTGGATTTCAGCAGGGTTAGGGGTGGGGTAAGTGCGGGGACAGAGGGAAACCCCACAAGCGAAGGTGGTAAACCGCATTCGCTGAGGGGCAGAGGCAGGAAAGTTTAGACAAAAGGAACAGGAGGGCTGACCGGACAGAAGCCCATACACCACGTCTTGTTAAGTTTTTCATGTTCAAAATCTTAACAGCAAATGTTTTTAAACTGGGAATACGTCATTTTTCTTTAGTAAACGTTTTGAGAGCATTTACCTTCAGTTGGAAATTTCTTGGCTCGTTCCTCAAAGAACCATTCTCCAGTTTTTATTTTCACGTTTCTGAAAAGCAAGCAGAAAGGAAGCCTCAGAAGGAGATGTGGGTGGTGCCGTATTTGGCTCATACAAGATAGGGAGGTATCATCATAACACTAGTCTGGCAAAGGACCTGAGTTCAAATTCCTGGCCCAGATCCCTAACTATACAGATTTCCCATAGAGATTAAGTGATCTGACTAGAAAGCGCAAATCTGAAAAAGAATATATATAATACATTATATATACATAAACTGAATCACTTTGCTGTACACCTGAAATGAATACAACATTGTAAATCAACTATACTTCAATGAGAAATAAAAGTAAAATAAAAAGATAAATTTTTTTAAAAAGCAGCAAAGCTGGAGTATCAACTTGGGTACATTTTACCCTGCATGTCAATGTAATGTAACAATAAACATACAAGGAGAAACAAAGCTGCCATCAAAATGATCAATTTATCATGTTCATGGTGGGGAGTAACGGCATGAAGGAAAACCAACAAAGAAATTCGGTGCTGTCTATCTAGCTAAGAAAGAGATCATCCTTAGTTAGGCTAAGCTGAGGTTCGTTTGAGCTAACTACAACATTTACCAAGAACCAACAGAGCAGATTCACCTGAGAAGTTTCCTGGGAGCACCTGAAATCTGGGATATGGGATCAAAGGGCTTCACTGGAGATTTGGGGACCACTTGAGAGACAGGGGCCGTGACCTCTCGTTGGGAAGCCGGTCTGACAGCGGCTCCCTGGGCATCTCTACATCCCCTCCCATCCTCCTCATAGGCACAGCCGCATGGGAGCACCTTGTACGGTCACCGGTTGAAACTCAAGCCCCAAAGCCTGTTTTACTCTTGATGGTTTCCAAGTTTCTAAAGAAACCACCCTCAACCTCAAAGAGCCTCAGAAAGGTAGAATTGTCAATAGCCTTATCAGGACATAAAAAGTTAAACACACAGATACTATAAATTATTCACACCATTAACATAATGTGCCATAAAGCTTGTCAATCCCTAGGTCCTGCAAATTTAAGAAAAATGAAAACTTCAAATTCTCTTCTGTAAGTACTTACTGAAATACACTCTCCCTTAGGTTCTTTCAGGCTATGTACGATCTCAAATGGATTTTAAGTTAATGCTTACAAATGCAGTAAATTCACAAATACACTGCAATCTACTTTGTACCCTATCTTTCTCTCTGGAGCTTTAGTTGTCAGAAGACATCAACCAAGCCCCTCCCCTTCATCCTGTTAACTATCCCCAATGCTTAGTGACCAGAACAAGGAAAACATACGCAGAGCATTTACAGATTTTGGCAACACAAGTTTGATAATCAGTCACTATCATTAAGAGCCAAAGATGTATCACAGCTGCGTGTTTTATATATCATGAGAGAGACGGGAAACTTTTCATCTGTAAAATCAGAAACTCAGGTATCTAATGCACTAAATCGACACAAAACCCATGAAGGAGAACTCAGCATCTCAACGGAAGTTTTCTCCTCTGGTACTTGAAGACAAGCAGAGGATCAAAACCCAGGGAAAGTTCACAGAGATTAAAGGGGGGCGGGGGGTGCGTTCACGCTCCTTTGAATTGCCATACCCACAACTGCTCTATTTCTGAGGACGCTTCCTCCATCCTTATACAGCGGGACAAAGTCTAAGGGGACCGTAGGGGAGGAAAATCAAATGTGGAAACAAGGAGGCCTCCAGCTGATAAACAAACGTCACTTCCTGATGTTTATTTTCCTGGGGGTGGTGACCCTTCCAGCTCATCTACTCTCTCACACTCTCCAGCCCATTACCTGTGACCAAAAGCATTTACGTATGAGACAGGTGCTGGGGGCAGGGCGTGGCCTCAGACTGGACCCGAGAGAGATCAGAACTAAGAGTTAAGCAGCAAATCAAACCATGAACTTACAGTCAGCTGAGCTATAGCCAGACACAGGCCACCACTGAGGAGTAATCACACCTGTAGATGCACAATCACGAAAAAGGAAGAGCAGGTAAGGGGACAGAGGAGAGGAAGGTGAGAACGCCCGAATAAACATTTTATTTTTATTACATTTTACAACATTTTATTACAAAGTCCTCTTCTAGCCCTGGTCTCAGACCTATATGAGAAGCAGATAAAGTAGATTATTAGTATCTCCTAGGGCTAGTCATCTAACGTTACCATCTAATCATCTAACTGAACCTCAACGGATTACTTGTGAAATTCAAGCAGAACCTTCCTCGGCGGGGACAGATTTGAACACAAACCCACAGGTCTCTTAGGCTTACCTGTGACTACAGAATGGAAGGATAAGAGTACCACAGGCCTGAACCATACGACGACAAGTACTTCTTGCATTTGAGGCTGTTTCCTTTGAGAACTAGATTGGAGCTGGATCTCCATAAACACTTCTGCAGAATCAGCTGTTTCATAAGCATTTATTCCCTAACGGTTTTCATAAGGGCTCCCAGTCCACACACATCCCAAGTGTTATAAGAAGGACCATTTATGACTGTTACCGTCTAAGACAGAGGTGAGCAGATCTTGCAGTGTCTCTGTCCTCATTAGGGCCAGCACAGGGTAGCATGACTCACAGTAACCAAAGGAAACATTGATTATTTCTCTCCCCCGCCCCACCGATGACTCAAGCAGAATTTGGCTATGAAAGCTTCTTGGAACATTTTCTGAACCCAGCAACAGGTTAATGGTTTTATATTTCTCCCACAGAATCATGACTTGTTTCTTCAAAACTTTTTCAGTCAATTGATAAATCCATCTCAGAAAGCAAAATCCAAGGATGGTGAAGGGAGCAAGAGATCTAGAGTTCCATGTCTGACTTTCCATGAACTCTGCGTGAGGAAAACGGTAACTAGAAACGCCAAGCACACGGAACACCGACAGCTCCTGAGAAACGGCTGGAGGCTCCAGCATCCATTTTCATAGCCTTGAACTCGGCTAATGCTGTCATTTCATTAGCAAAAGGGAAATAACTGTTGAAAAGCACTTCGCAAATTCTAGCACGCAAACGTTCAATGATACGATGAATGGAGGACCCTAATAGAAAGATCTTCAAGAGTCTGACCCCATTTCTATCGCAAGCAGTTGAGCCAAAGAGGCCTGCTGGAATGCACTTTTACTCTGCATTCAAATTACCAGCATCTGCAGGTGGGTAAGCTGTCACGTCCAAAGCACCTGCTTTATGCTCCGAGAAGAGCCAGCGTCATGTCCCTAGAATTCCTTAATGTATTTCTGCCACTCAATGCACAAGAGGTAGCACATCTGTCCGCATGTCAGGACTCTCTGAATGCCTTAAAGACACACATCTCCCAGGCAGATCTGTGCTCTAACCAGTGCCCTGATGGCAAGGAAGCCTCAAGAAAACCCTTGGTGGCTTATCAGACAAGCTATAAAAACACCAAAAGAAGTGGCCAAATATTGTAAAACTAAGATCAACCTGATTTCTTTGCACCGGCTTGTCCAACCGCTTGGTAATTCCCAGCTAAAGTGGTCCTATGCACCCATACAGTTGAAAATTTTTTTTACTTCAAATAATCTTATGCCTAAGGCGGTTTTTAGTTACAAAGCAAAATAATGAGGTTTTTTTTTCCCTCCATCAGCTAGCTCAGTTGATCTGATTTCAATGTTCTTACAGGAAAAAAGACTGATCATTGTGATTAAACCCTGGGTAACCAGGAGTCAGAATCAAGATGAAGATAAACGATTTTAACCAAGCAGCTACCATCACTTCTTGCAAAACATGAATAACTCTACTTAACTGCAGAGAGAAGGCAGGTTCCCCACCCCCACCCCCGCGTCATATTCAGTGCTGTATCCACAGCCACGAGCACAGCCAAGGGACACGGTGGGGCTGGTGACTACATGTGGGTTGACGAATGAATATCCCCACCTCTGACGAATGAATATCCCCACCTCTGAGAATTGAAGGGATAAGGTGGGACCGACATAGGTGGAGCCCTGGTGGTACCGAGGCATGATGTGCATCACGCCCTCTCAACGTGTAGGGGCAGGAATCACAAACTCAGGCACCAAGAAGGCGCTCTAAATGAAGAGAGTGGCTAAGGGATGAAACGAGAGAGAGGGGTGGGCACTGTCGTGAGCTGCAGAACCCATGCCCCGTTTTAAGGCATTACAATGATAAATACAGACATGGGGCAGGCCAACACAACAAGGCCTGTGGGCTGCCTGCAGCCTGTTGGCCATGAGTTTGTGATTCCTGGTTTGTTACATCAGATAATTAGTCAATGAAAGAAATACCAATTCTACTGCAGCTGGACGGAGCTGCACTTGTTAAAGCCTCAAACAGAAATCGAGTTAGACGTTGTGCATCACCCCGTCCTCCCCACAGATCTAAGAAGGGACTCCACCACCACCGACAGGTCACGAGACCAGAGACAAGGAGCGTGTACCCTGCTGGCAAACCCTGAACCTGGATGTCTGAAGACAACGCAGAGCCTCTGACAAAAGGCCACGGGCAGGAGAAACAGAGTCCTGCAGACCAGGAGCGGCTACTCAAGGTGCATCACTGCAGGAACCAGGGAAAGTTTCAGAAAGCAGTTGTCTTCAAAAGCATTTAAAAACCGCCTCCATGAAGGGCTTCCCTGATGGCGCAGTGGTTGAGAGTCCGCCTGCCAATGCAGGGGACACGGGTTCGTGCCCCGGTCCGGGAAGATCCCACATGCCGCAGAGCGGCTGGGCCCGTGAGCCATGGCCACTGAGCCTGCGCGTCCGGAGCCTGTGCTCTGCAACGGGAGAGGCCACAATAGTGAGAGGCCCACGTACCACAAAAAAAAAAAAAAAAAAAAAGAAAGAAAAAATAACCGCCTCCATGAAAAGGAAAGAAAGACATAAGTAAAACCCAGGCTGAAATGAAGAGACAACAGACTAAAAGAAGAGTTACAAAACGAACAATGCAAACGCAGAACAAGCTGTTTTACCAACAGGAAAGAGCAGAATGGAGAGTCTGGAAAGTTGAATCAGTTATGCTTTCACAGAACATGAGAGAAAAAGATATTAA